CAGCCCCACCATGCGGCGAGGCCGACGGACCGTAGCTGTGAGCGGCTGCAGCAGCCGCCTGATAGTTGTTCATCACTGCAAGGAAAAGACATTGAGCTAAGTGTTATAAGTGTTCATACAATAAGGCTTAAGTCTTTTAATACTCTGGGGAACTTTACATGCCAAATTAGTTCGTATAGTATTCATCTACATATCAATTTGACAAAATATAAAGCAGAATCAATGTAGAACGAAGTTGCTCCTGGATAAACCAAAAGCTTTGATTTTGTCACAGGGAGTCAGTAAAAATGATTATTATTTCATAACTTTATAACTAAGTGATAAGCTTTCTGGTTTATGGTAAACTTATTCAATATTTAAGTTTGCGTTTGATTGATTGCCTTATCTTTTGCACTACATATATGTGATATCTTACCTGACAGTGCCTGTGTTAGCAGCGGTGTATTGTTGTTGGGGGTCAGCTGCCCATTGGTTAGATCAACTGTAAGTGGCAAAAGATTAAAAGAGTTGACACTTTAATATATGGCTGGCAAGAATGCTATGCAACTAGTTAAAAGTTGGGCGTAAAAATACCTAAGTTATATAAGAGAGTATATGAAAGTTGTAATCAAGACTGAGCACTAAGTGGTATATATAAAAAAAACATTGATACGATTATAAATAGTATAAGTATATGTAAGTGGTGAGCGTATGAATGTTATATAATGGAACTTATCTAAAATAGAACAGAAAAGGCAAATCAAATAACATATATAAAACCAAATACGACTAACTAACTAGCTGAATGTTGTAGTACATTGTACATTTAAACCCAAGCCCAAAAGTTAATAAAGGAACACTATACGGTTATATGGTATATGGTATAGAGAAACTACAACGACGCAAAAACAGAACTAACTAGAGAGGGCTGGTTATGAAAACACACAAAGTGCACGCAGGATTATTAAACGAGCGTTGACGCTTGAGAGACCCGTTGTCTGCAGCTAGTATGATGGAATGAAACCAGAGCAGCAAAACGAAACTCAGCTACAACGCTTGGTTAAAGGACACAGGCGCACTTTCCTCTTGGCGCTTTTTCTGTTATCATTGCCTGCTGCTGTTGCCTGCTGTGGCTCTTGTTGTTACGGTCACAGCTGCTGTGGCAAGTAAAAATACGCTAGCGCCAATATTGAAATGACAACAGAATGGGAATGTGACTGTGAATGGGAATGGGAATGGGAAAGGGAAAGGGGAATGCGATTGGGTAGAGGGATTGGGTTAAGAAGTAACGGGTTATGGCTAACGTATTATGGAGTAAGGGGGGAGGTGGAGCAGTGCTGGAGTTGCAGGCAAATGTGCATGTAGCAGTTGCATTTCCTGCGGAAACACAAAAATTGATGTAACGTAACGTGACGTAACGTAACGAGGCGTGGCAGTGGCAGACGTTTGCTTATTGTCGTCCTTGTCGCTGGTGCGTGCGTTGGATGTGAATGTAAGTGTGTGTACTGTGTGCTGTGTGTATGTGTGTGTGTGTGTGCTGTGCTGTGTGTGTGGCGCCAATCAAGTTTGGCTTACGTTTAGTTTACGCTTTTCGGAAAGCTCCGTGCGCCATGTTGTTTTCATTAGCGACGCAGCAGCAACAACTGTGAAAGCTTCTGGCAATAGAAATAGCGGAAACTGCTTTTTCTAAATAAATAAGTTTTTAGTTTCACTTTTTAGTTGTAGCTGTAACTGTAACTGTAGCTGTATCTGTAGCTGTTGTTATAGAATGGGTTTCCGCTTTTCTTCGGTTTCTTTTTTTTTTTATATTTTGTTGGTAGTGTTGCAGCTGCAACATTTTAGTTTAGTTTAGTTGTCATATTCGTGGTTTTGTTGCTTGGGAAACAACAGTGCCATTACCAAAACTACTGAAATTTGTTGAGTTATGTTTCCTTGTCAGTCTTTTTCTTGTTTATCACAAATTTGTTATAGAACGAACCATTTGAAGCGAAGATCGTTTACGAACAATTAAATGTTAACTTTTGGCAACACTGGTTTACTCTATGAGACTAAGTGATTATGGACGTTTCAACAGCTACTTATATATTAGCACATTAGTGATATTAGTAAACAGAAGAATAAATACATATATACTTAAATACATATGAGCTACACATTTGCTCCGTTTTTCAACACTACACAGTTTAAAGAGTTCTTTGATGTGGGACATTAAATTAGTTTAAGTTTTAGCTATTTCTAGAGTTTTTAACAACTACATTATTTAGCTTATAAATAGTTAATATTAAGATTTTTATAGTTATGATTTTTTTTGTTTAACTTGATTATAAAAATGTATTATCTTTTTTTAGCTACTACTAATGATTGATTAGACGAATCGTCTTCCATATAGTTGGCATTTATTTGGTTATCAACTGAAAATCTTTTGTAGATATGAAATGGTCTAAAGATACATATAATTTCTATAATTAAACGAAAACTACACATAGATATAAATGTATATGTATGTATATATGAACTACGACTGCCCTCTTTGGGCAGTTTACAATTGAGTTTTGATTGCGCGTTTTGCTAAACTTGTTTCTATAACGAGTTACTAACAGTACATTTAATAATCATAAAATGATTCCTTCGGCCAACGAAGGAACAGATATAAAGTGTATAAAGTAAAGTATTTATGTATATATAGAATGCTGTAGGGTAATGCATTTTATAATTAAGACGACCATTAGCTGACCTTGTTGGCAGTTGACTTTTGAGTTGTCGATGTTCTTGCTGTTGTTGTTGTGCCTGTGGCTGTTGCTGTTGCAGTTGTTTGTTGCTGCTGTCAAGTTTATTACGTATACGCATCGATGGCCACTTTGTCACTCTTGGCTTGACAATTCCATGTTGTCCACTCCAAACTGTTGGCTGCTATTTGAAAACGCTTTCAAACGCAAATAACACAAAAGCTAGAGCAAGGAGCAAGAAGCAAGAAGAGCCTTGCGGCCAAGAAGGATAGACTTTGCTTTGGGTTTTTGGTATCGGCTTTTGTATCCGTTTTTGTGCATTTATTTAGTTAATAACTTTTCGTTTTTGCATAAGCAATTTGAATTCTGCGTTGGCATTTTTGTTCATGTTGTTGCTGTTTAACTTGTTGTTTTGAAGCGTTTTCTTATAAATCACAGTATATACGTGTAAAATACATAGATATGCGTATGCGTATGTGTGTGTGTCTGTGTTTGTGTTTGTGTTTTAGCTATATAAGTTGTTAGGTATATTGTATATAAATAACTCGTAAGCATTTTATAGTTAAGATGCCTCGAAGCAGTTGCTTCTTCTCTTCTTTTAGCCTTTGTCCTTTTGCTATACATTAAATTTAATTGCCAAAATTTTTTGATAACTGCATTTAATTAACTAATTAACAGCTTATCAATTTATAGTCATTGATCTGTGTGTGTGTGTGTCTGTGTGTGTATGTTTTTATAGATTTTATTTATATATATTGTATATTAGTATGTCATAAATATCATGTATATAGTATTGGTAGCTAAGTATTAATGTGAAACTTACAATTATGCGTAAATGGAAAGGACATAGAAAAATTGCATTTTTCGTAAACTTAAAGTCGCTCTTCGAAAATGGATGGACATTAATATTGTATTTTTTCGTGTTTTTATTATTATTTTTTTAAATTTTTATATTAATAGTACAAATGAAATTGATTTTGCTTTTGTATAAAATAAATTTTTGAACTTATTTTGTATATTTTTTATATTAAATATATATATATATATATATATATATATTTATATATATATATATGTATATAGTTCATATATTATTCATATAGAAATGTCAATAAAAATTTTCTCTCATTTTGGTATAAATTTATTGGCTTATTACAGATTCAGTTTGATGCACCGATGAAGGAATTTATGCAGGCTATACGATATATAGTATAAATAGAGTTATAGAGTTAAAGGATTCCGAAACGAACGCCAAAATATTTATGTAATGGCTATATGTAAATATGAAACACAACCAAACACAAAATTCAACTAATTAATTAACTTTTCCAATGTCCAAAAATCTCTGCACATTTGCTTATTATCTAAAACTCAGGAGACCCAAAAAAATATGTAAAAATGCGAAAAAAAATACAAATTATACTATGCTGGAAATTAATTAAAGGATAATAATAATAATGACACTACATGTGACAGGCCGGCTAAAATGTTGTTTTTATCTAAATGGATTTCGTGTGTATTTGCGCGGTTTTTGCTGCTGTGTGCTTTTTATTTTATATTCGCACGTTTGCCAACTAATTTATGCGAATCTACTACAAATAAAAATTTGCATTTAAATGCTTACAGTAAAATAGTTTTATAAATAATAGATTTGCGTGTTGGCCCTGGAACATATCCAAATGGGAGTAGTCGGTGTGTTCTTAATGAGAATTGATGAGGCAATGAAACAAATGCAAATATAATAATATGTTTGAATGTATATGTATGCTTATGGGGAGCATATATCGAGTATTTACTGTGTACATATTGTGTCATACCTCTAGGATTCTACACACACGTCTATGAAGTTAAATGTGATTATATGTTGGCCTAAACACTACTTGTTGTTTTGCTATATGTTTTGAGTATAAAGATTTAATCAACTACAGAACTGTTCTATAGATAGATACTCGTAGTACAGGTGCTGGCTGCTGTCTTACATGGTGCACAGCTCTAAAGATATATATGTATATATTTGTAACTAGGGATTCAGCTAATATTGGTACCAAAGGGTTTCAACGCGTCTAGAACAAATGCCGGTTATAATAAATGTTTATATATGTATGTAGCTAAGTATATGTGTGTGTGTGTGTGTGTGTGTTGAGCTATATAGAAAGTATGTAATGGGAGAGACTAAGTGTCAACTATATAGAGCAGCAGCTCTAAATGTGATTATATGGGTCTGCAATTATAAATACTTGTAGTAAATACTTGATTCTTTATGCACTTTTGTTATTTGATAGATCAACAACTAACGAGTATTTGTTTTATTGTGATTTTTGTTGTTACCATTCACCGTAGAAACAATCTAATCTAAATTTTTTTTATTTATGTTTGTTGTGGTTGCTGTTGTTAATGGTGTTGTTGTTGCTGTTTGTTGTTGTTGTACCTACTTGTCACAGTACAAATGATATATTTTGGATTGCGTATTGTCGAAAAAAGAGACAAAATGGCAATGAAATATTAAATACAATGTCGCAGGCCTCTCATATATTTATGCTTGCTTGTTTTTAGTTTTATCGTGTTTCCCGCTCTCTCAGACTTTCAGGCTTTCGGCTTTTATGGGGGATGTAAGCTTTTTTATTTAGTTTCTCGTTTGGATTTTGCTCTCGTTTTTTTTTTTTTTTTTTTTAGAAATTTATGTTGCCCAAAAACTGCGATTTGATTGCCGCGGTGCGCGCTGTTAGCGCCGTTGCCAGCGGCAGAGTCAGCGCCTGATGGTGTTGATATCCCGACTGGGTCTGATTGTGGACAGCCGCTGCAGCAGCAGCACCAGCAACACCACCACCAGCGGGGCCGGTGGCGGCTCTGCTGCGGCCGGCATTCGTGCTACACGTTGTGGTACCATAACTTCTACCGATGCCACAAATAGTCAAGCCTACAAAATCACACGAGATAGATTGCAATGTAGAAAGTGACAGAGAGAAAGAGAGAGGGTGAGATAGTCGGAGAGGGTAGATAGAGAAGGACAGAGAAAGAGAGAGAGAGAGAGAGAGAGAGAGAGGGGAGAGAAGCTAGGGTTGGGACGAATGCGCATATGAATATTCGCATTCGCGAAACTTGTCAACAAGTCCAACGACTCGCTTGCATTTTTGTATAAACTTATTCTCAGACGGATCGATATATAGTTAAGTTTGGTTCTGTTTAAATCCTTCGGTTACTACTGCTATAACTGAGTTGAAAGCGTTGAATTTGAGTACTTAATCAATTGCAAATGGATTTCGACATCCGTTCCAACCCTAGCTAAATATGTACAACACACACTCTGTGAATGAGGGTGGCAAGGATAATCTTGCTAGCAAATGTTGATTATTCGGTTGTGTGCGGGTTTTTATTTTTTTAAAAGTGATTTCAGTTTATGCGTGTGTTTTGGTGCAAATGATATAAACACAAGACCAAGCAGCATTAATGAAAGAAATATATGCGTGGATATGTTAATGTCTAGATTTTAATAGCTGCTTTTTGTTGTTTTATAGAGAGTAAGCACTATTTGTGCATTGATATGACGAACGCTAAAGAGTTCTTTATAGATAATGATAGTTTTATTCATATTTGAATTAAATTTTTGGCAGCGGCCCGAACATAACATATAATACTCGATAAATCGTCAGTTTTATTGATTTTATTGATCAGCTAGATCTCAGTTCCTAGGCTGTGCTGCTGGTCGTTGGCGCAACCATGTAATCACCGATGAGTATTCGATTTTCCGGCATTACGCCCATTACACCAGCTATAAGGCAAATGAAAAAAGAAAATGAAAAAAGACAGAAGAAAATATCGATTGTTTTTCTGTTCGAATACGAAACAAATCAGAAACGAGTAAAAACAAGTTATCGAGCATGAAGTTAGTATGTAATTCTAATGCTTATTAAACATACATACATATACAGTACACAGTTTGACTAGTTTTTAATAATGCCTTTCGTCATATCAACTAACACAAATATCAATGCGGGGGTTTGGTGGTGGTGTTCTTCTGGTGGCTTATGGGGGTCAGTTAATTTTCGAGTAGTCACAAAACTCAAAACTCAAATGCACTTTTGAGCACATACACTCACACACACAGACAGTCTCACTCACATACAAACGAGTGGTATTTAGGGACGTACGACATATGCAGAGGATTCTATATATTCTTTAATTATATTTAAGTAAGTATGTGTGTGTGCAGGAGAAGAAGAGATTTGAGCAACTTACCAGTTGGATAGGGTAGTCCAAAGCTAGGATAGCCGGAGTAACCGCGACCAGAGGCATAAGCAGCATACGCAGCTGCCTGAAAGCCTGTGGAAGAAATGAAAAAAAGAATAGAAAATGCATATTAATGAAATATTCCACAAAACAATTTCTAGTTACACTTATAACTAGACTATTTGAATACTAGTTCTACATACAAAATTCACTAGTTCTTACCTTCAGGTAATGTCCCCAGACCCCACATGATGTTATCTAAAAATGGCGCATGAAAAACAAGAGAGAGCACAAAAAAGAAAGGCATAAACATAAATAAATTACTAAACATTCACAAGTGCGCATCTTTAGAGCTATGTACTCGTAGTAAACAAAGAGACCATTAAAAAAAACGCATAAATATTGTCTAATAATATAGTATGAAAGACTGAATTACTATATATGTATGTATGCATGTATGTAGTATATATGTTTTCATTTAGTGTTCGAACTTAGCGCTCTAAATGTGTGTTAGGCTATTAAACTAATAAACAATCGATTATCATTTATCGATCATTTTACTATATACTAATTGTTTAGTACTGCTGTTAAAGAGAGAGATAGAGAGATTCTAAGTAATGTTTGCGCTTGGCAATTGTTTTTGTTTTTTGTTTTTCATAAACAGCCTCGATTTTCTGAGCTATTGTAATTATATGGAGTTACATATTGGATACAGTTGTACCATCGATATAAGTAGATATGACACAATTCTAAACACTTATTAGATATAGTATGTATGTTCGTTTAAATATATATAAATATTTAGTTATAAGTACGTAGACATTATTGACTATATTGTTGACTAAAACATTTAAGATCTATACTAAATGTAAATACTAAAATTAATTGCTTTTGTTATCTAGTGTTTTATTTATTTATTTTTGTATTTTTTGTCCAGAAGGACGGGGGCAATTCTAAAGCCTCGCTGCGCATTTCTACAAAAATGCCACAGAGTATTTTCGGGCCGTTGCTCCCCTCCCCCACAACTAAGTAAGAGTGTTGAACAAATAACGAATAGTGTTTACAAACACTCACAAGTGGACAAAAACTAAATGGACTAATAGAAAAATACTACAACACAATATCCAAAACCGAAAGGATAATCAAACAAGAGAAAACAAAAAAAGAAAAGAAAAGAAAAATCGAAGTTTCAACAATTTGACAGCTAGTTCAAATAAATGTATTGTATTGTAAATAGTTTTTGAAATTTATGGGAATAATTTTGCTTTGATCCATGCGATTTCTCATGGTCGACTTGGCCGTCATCGTTCAATCATTCATTCGTTCATCTTTGGCATCAAATTTGGCTGACGGCTGATTTCCTGTGTTGTTGTTTTTGTTGTTGATGCGCAACATTGGCTTACATAAGTACACTATTACAATATGGATAACAGTCAAGTATAAACTAGAAATTTGAAGCACATAATGCGCTTATCGTAAGTAGATAAGTATGTTAGCAAGTATTAATATGTATGTATATATGTATGTATGTATGTATGTATATAGTTTAATGCATATGTAAGATATAATCAATAGCTAAGTTCATGTTTAGTCAAATATTAATGGCTATATGCAAACATGTATAAGTAATTAAGTGGCCGGCCTATCATTATGGCCATCAACTGTCCACGCTGTAATTTTGTAAAGGCTTCCGCTTCGAATTGACATTATCAATTAAGCAGTGTCTGGTTACTTACTTACTTACAAAATAACGAGCAGACAGCTGCCATTCTAATGCCACTCAGCGAAGGCCTTTCTACATTTGCGACTTCCACTTTCAAAATGTTTAAGCTAAATTTGTTTCACATACACTCACGCACTTGATGTGCATAAGAGCATATGTGTGTTTGCGTGTGGGTGTGTGTGTGTGTGTTAAATACACTCTAAGCTTATCATCTCAGCTTCAATGCGCCATTTACTTAAACGCTAATTCGATACATTTGCTAGTCAGTATAATTATTACATATTGCATTATTTTTGTCATTGTTATTTGGGACTACAGAAAATCATTTTTGAAGAGCTATTGTTATGAATGTATATGTTAAGTATATGTATATAGAGTTGGGTAACGGTAACACAAGGTAAATATAAATTTTAGATATGCATTGTTTACAAGAATATGTATAGGTATTACACATACATTAATGATTTACCTAAAAGTTATTATTATTATTATTAATAATATTTGTTTTTGACAATTTCGATAGTTTTTTAATTAAATTAATTAAATCTTTTTGTTGGTTTCACATATTCATATCAATTTCTTAAGTTCTAGTGTTGCACAATGTCTAAGACTTACACGCAGCATTGTTACAGTTACGTTTACTGTTACTGTTACACGAATTACGATCGCCTCTAAGTCTCTAAGTATCGATTGCGCAAATGTTCCTATGCCCATTTATCGATCAATCGATACAAAAAAGTTAAGCCAAAATCTAAGCAGCTCTCTAGGACCTGCTCTTAAATATTTAACCTAGATCTCGTAAACACATCTCTTAAAGTCTATGGAGAAAAATTAATGCGTCCACTAATTAAGTATTTAATTATTATAGTATGCAATTCAAATTTATAGCGCATACGCCGCGTTGCCAAAACGCTGATCTGATTAAACACAGAATACAAGTAGAGTATGCTTTGTATGTAAGTAGATATGTATGTACACATATGTATATATATGGAGTACATTGCTAGGGAGAATCGTACACGTAATCCTAAGACCTATGAGTAAATGCGACACATTCGCGCTTTGGACATTGAGACGGAATGAGAGTATTGTGTGTATTTGGTGCGTTTTCGTATTGTTATTGTAGTATGTGGCGTACAGTGTACAGTGTGTATTATGTGTGTTGTGTTTAGTAACCATTAACATTCCAAACTGATGCGATCTAGAGACCTCATGCAATTAGCCAGAATGAATCATACACTCAAACGAACAAATGCCTTCAAACTCAAAGCAAATTTTAAATATGAAATATTATGTTTTAAACAGAGAATATATCTCTTCTTAGATATTTGTCCACTAATTATTTAAAACTAAGATATTTTTTCGTTGAGTGTAGATTTCGAAAGAGTTCAGTCTGAAGTTGGGGTAAATGTGAATGTTAATGGCTTAGTAAATGCGAACGTCGGCTCACTGCGGCCTTTGTGGTCAGATGCCGGGCAACTGATATAAAGAGGCTGCTGCCGCTGCAGCCGACGCCGCTCCGGGCATTTCCAGGCCCCCCGGCATGCCCAGAAGCTCACTGAGCGGATAATGTGCAGCAGCAAGTGCTGCATTCTGACGCAATTGCGCCTGCTGGGCAGCAGCGGCTGCAGCTGCTGCGGGCGCTGTGGCCGCGGCCGTGAGGGCGCCCAAAGTGGCCGCTGTGGGCGTGGCTCTAAGTCCGCTGCTAACTGCAGCGGCGGCCAACAGTCGCTTATAGCCCATTACGGCGGCAGCATCGGCATAGAGCGAATTCGCCAGTGCAACATTATTCTGGGTGGCATTTGCAGCAGCCGCATACTGCAGCAGCGAGGGGGCGGCCGATTGGGCTGGACTTGAGAGGGGCAGAAGGGAGGGTGCGCCCGCTGCAGCGGCCACAGCATGAGCAAGACTCTGTTGCTGTTGCTGCTGCTGGTGTTGCTGATGGGCGGCAACAGCAACTGCTTGCTGCTGTTGTTGTTGCTGTTGCTGCTGTTGCTGCTGATTGGCAGCAGCGGCTGCTGCGGCGGCGACTGCAGCGGCCGAAATGTGTGTGGGCAGCGGATAGGGTGTGTACCGCAACGAGGCAGCTGCTGCTGCTGCCCCAAGTAGCTGATGATGATGATGATGTGTGTGCTGTTGTTGCTGTTGTTGTTGGTGGTGGTGGTGTGAATGTTGCTGTTGTTGCTGATGCTGCTGCTGCTGCTGATGCAGCGCTGTGGCGGCAGCGGCTAAACTACTTGGCAGGAGGCCAGCGGCCGATGTGGCCGCCGAAGCCGATTGATTTGCGTGGCTGCCCCAGACTACCAACTCACCGTAAGCGGAGCGACCTGCGGCTCGGGTCTTGGCCAGATTTGCCGGCAACATTACTTCTTTCGGCTGCGCCTTCTTGCACTCCACCTGCAAGTGACAAAATAAAGGGAGACAGAGAGAAATAGAGGGAGAGGGCTGAGTTAAGTTACTGCATTTCGTTTCATTTGGTTTCGCTTGACTTACCATTTTGTTGTTTATCTCATGGAAATGAATTTCACAAACTTTGTCTACCACATCTTCGCTTTGAAATGTAACGAAGCCAAAACCTGTAAAAAACAAGAGAACAGCAAAAAAAGAAAAAAGAGAAGAAAAGAAAGAAAAAAACAAACATGAAGTGAAAAAGTCAGAGAGTCAAAAAGAGTGGGCAAACAAGTTTAAGAGCTGCAAAAATTGAACGAAATATGCTTTTGTGCGAGCGGCTAAATAATTTACTCAAGTGTCGAGACCGAGACGTACCCAGACAGCCAGCGCACTGTCCCCAGTTCCCCCTCTTGCCCTTGTTATGCACTCCAGCACCCCCTGTTCCCCCAGCAAGCTGACCTCAATATGCGGCTGGGCGCCTGGATCCCTGCAGGGAACTCAAGTGCCGGCCGCGCCGAGTAATTCAAACACTGCCCTGCCTCCGAGTTTACATAGCAAACTTTGCCCAGCACTGAAAATAACCCAGCCGAGTGCATAATAACTTTGTCATGAAGTTTTTGCTAGACCAAAACCCTCTCCAAATTGCATAGAAATGCTGGATCAGCTCTTTTCAGTCTTTGCTGCTGCTGCCAAATTTCTATAGTCAAATTTTGTTAATTTCTCAAAATATATGCAATCTTTCATAATTGTGCTTAATATATATATATGCATGTATATATATATATATAGTTTATTGGGGGAAAAATTAATGGCAATCACTTTCGAAATTGTATTTATAATCCATGTGACATTTATTGGATTTTGTGACAATTTGTACAAGGCCAATGAAAAAGGATTCAAACCCTTTTAAATTTGTATCAGTGCTTCAAGAGAGGGTACCATCGAAATTATCGATTAATGCTCACTTATCAATACGGATTGTTATTTTAATTAATGTCTAATGGTATAGACTATATAAGTAATATCGTATATACTTTATATGTAGGAGACTTTACGTGAAAAGTTACGCTTTTCATTATGGTTGCTGCTTGTAATGCATGTTTATTAGCAAAAAGAAAAAGCAAGACCGTTAAATATATATTTCTGTGTGTTGGTCTCAATTTTGCTGCCTGCGCTTTGGTCTTATCGAGGTTTTTCAATTAGCACAATTGTCTGAGATTTGGCCTGGCCAAAAGGGTCGTGCAATTAGCAGGGCCAAGTGCAGACACCTGATGCCACGCCTCCAATGGAAACATCGCTTCGCTTTGTATATGCAGGTGTGTTGGTGTGTGTTAGTCTGTTTGTTTTTGTCTTGGAATGCGGGGCGTTGGGCGTAGCTGACAAATTAGTTGAAACAAGTGACGGTAAACACGCAGGCTTATTAGCGACATGTGCTGAGTAGCGACTCCTTTCAGCTGTTTGCTACTTGCCCTTTGAAAACAACATTGTGGGCGTTCAAGAGTTGCTACTGGTCTCCCTCTACTCATCCCACTCCCACTCTCACTCACTCTAAAGCCTTCTGTTTCTGCAACTCTCGGTTGACTCCTCCTCGTGCTGTGTTTGTGTTTGTTTTAATTATATAAAATTAGCGCACGTTGCAAGTTGCACGTAGTTGGCACTTTAGTGTTGCTGCCTCTGGCCACTCATAAATCAGCCCAAGTGCGCCGACCGCTTGGCGAGCAAATGAAGCTAGCAATTTCTTTTCTGCTTCATCCCCCTCCCCACCCACTCCACTCAGCCCACTCAGCCCACTCACTGCACGTAACTCAATCAAAAATGTATCTGCTAGCTACAAATGCGCCAAAAGCAGCATGAAAAATGCCCGTCAGGAGTCGCTTTGCTAGTTAATTCTGTGGCTGCTTTTGCTGCCATTTTTACCTGTCGAAAATTTCCCGCAGGACAACGACGACGAGCCTCGACTTGAACTGAAAGAGAGACCCTGACGATGCTTTTGCCAACTGCAAAAATTGCACACTCATGCATGTTATTGCCAAGTAATGGCCACAGATATGGCTACATATACCACTTCTACTACTACCAGCAATAGAGACAGCAACGAAGCAAGGTCTGGGGGGGCGGAATGGGGGCAGCGGTAGCCTTCCAGCTGTTATGACTGCGCTGCGCCGGCTTGCCAAAAAAGAAAAATTACAAAATTTTCAATTTTAATATTAGTGGCGGCTGGCGACGGCAACTGCCAAGTAAGTTTGAAACACCATCCCTCGCCATCTGCATCCGCGCCAACACCTCAGTTGCTGGCACCATCCAATACCCATATCCGACTCCCAACACCCACCACCCACCATCCAGCACCCACCACCCGCCGCAACCGGCTTTTTAGGCGCACGTTGTGCATGTCCTTGGCTGCCAAATGAAATTCATAGCATAGTTTAGGGCGCCGCTGTCGTGTATCCCACATATAAGCCACAGTAGTCATCAGCTGGCGATCAACATTTGCTAACTTTTAATCCTATCGCCTATATATAAAGCCATAGATACTGAATTTGAATGCATGGTTTTCATTGGAAATTTATTACTCTATTTTTTGTGTGATTTTAAATTGCAAACTCTCTTTTCAATTCTTCAGCTAAAACAGCACTGCTTCAATTATTTACGTAAATATTTCTCTATGGTAACGTAAGCTCAGAAATATGTATATTTCTCTAGAGAATTCTACCGAAAATCAAAGCTCTCAACGGAAGTCATAATCCTGCAGGTAATTCCTACAATATGTGCACATTAATTACCAGCAGCAAACTCAACTCAGTTGCATTTATTCAAGTATGACTGTGACTGCAGCTGTTATTGTTGTTGTTGTTGTTGTTGCTGTTGCTGTTGCAGATGTTAGTATGCCAGCCTATATTGTTTTATGGCATATTCATATAGTTTTCGTTTCGTTTCCGTTCGTACCCCAACCCTCCCTGCTCCAATCCAACCCTCGCCCTCTCCTTCGTTATAGATAAAATGCTTCGCTTACTTTTTGGGGCCAACTGCAGCCGTTAGTTGGAGAAACGTCGCTGCATGTTTCAGTGACCGGGCTTCCATTACACAGTTTATGTGTGTGTGTGTGTGAATGTCTTACATGTGTGTGTGTCTTTCTGTCTGTCTGTCGCTGCACACATGATTTATGAATGAGTAACAAACTTGCTGCCGTGTAGCCCGAGCAACGAACAGCGACGTCTTTGCTCGCCTTTTTTTCGCTTCTTTATTATAGTTGGTGTCCTCTTTGTGTAAGAATGTGTGTGTTTGTGAGTGTGTGTGTATACACGCTGGCAATTGCCACATGTACGCTGGGAAACCTTTTTCTCTTGGATCGATAAAATGCAATTACAGGCATATCGCAAGTGCCAGTAGGCAGGCTGGGCAGCAGGCAGCCAGGCAGTCCTTCAGCCAGGAAAGGAGGGGGGTCGGAGAAGTGGGCATTTGGGCCCTGGAGCGTCTGTTAGTCCAGCTCATGGCAAAAGGTCGTACATCGTCCAACTGTATAAAAAGTCGCCTGGTCGTGGCAATGAAGGCTACGGAGCTACAACTAATACCCTTTGATTAACGACACACATTTTCTATTGACTCGAAACGAAAGCGTTAACGTCAATTCCTTATAGTGGTGGATTGGGTAGTTTTGTGGGTTGACTGGTTGGATGGGTTACAGCAAACGGTGTGAAGTTGGGCAGTTGGTCTTTGCTGGTTGTAGTTGACGGTTGATTGCTAACAACTAACAACCATTGCATATTTCATTATATGTATGCCGATCGACCCTGGCAATTGTAATTTGCAAAATTGACGTGTCCTGCGAGCCATGTCAATAACAGTAAATGTCTACATGTCATATTCATAGGGAAATCACGGAGAAGAGCCTAAGCTTTAAATACTCCACATTTCAGCAGTATAATCGACAGGAGCTTCGTATAGCACGTTAAAGTATATCAAGATCATATGGAAATGTGGTGCAACATTGTAATGTTGAACATTATTCAACTGGATGTTGATTCAGTTTGAGCATGTAAGTTAAGAATCTGTTCTTTAATTGGATACCTTTTGTGGTTTCATTTGAATCTGAGCATGATTGTTGGTAATCATTCTAAAAACTGAATGTAATCATTTTCTTGTTTGTTTTTCAGCTACTGTCTTTTTCTCTCTCGAATAAATCTGCATGCTTGCAATTTGCAGTTTTATATCTCTTTTTGTTTTCCATGCATTATAGCTGAGCAGATGTTGCGCTACGCTGCTTTTTCCGTTCTCCCATCTTTCAACTGCAGCGCAGCACATAATTTTTAAATGGGGCGCTGCTTGTTTTTATTGCCATTTCCAAAAGGCTACTCGGCAGTTCCCGTTTCTCGTTGAGTCTTCTGTTTTTCATATGATATGCATCATGATGCAGCTTTCAGTACTCCAGCGTCCAATTAAACGAAATGTTCTGTGGGTCGCGGCGGCGGCGGCGGCTGCTGCTTATCTCAGTGCGATGCGGCGGCGCTCAGAAGTGTGCAACAATTTTTTATGGGGCCCTGCATACAAGCAAAAATCATGTTTCCTTATTCCCGTGTGCGTAATTTGGTTGGTCAGTGGACCCCGAATACATGAGGCCACCAAAGTTAACAAGGCCAGCATGTACTCACACACTGTGTGTGTGTGTGTGTGTGTGCATCAAGTAACTATTGATGCATGCCTGTGTGTGTGTTTGAGAGTGGGCAGCTAATTACTTTTGGACACAGACATTGTTAGTTGCCTGCAGTTGTATATGTGTATTTAGGGGTGTGGTTGTGTGTGTGTGAGTGTTGCCTCTGGTACCATCATGCACATCAATCTTAATGTGCCGTGTCTCAGGTGAAACTGCTGCTGTTGCTGATGCTCCTCCTCCTTTTGCTGCGTCTCCTGTCACATGTCAATGGGCGTCGGACTCCGATCTCAATGCGAATTTTCGGCGGGTTATTTAAAACTTTAATAAGCAGAATTGACAACGACAACGAAGGCAGCAGTCAGCAGGCAGCAGGTCGCACAGTTCGCACAGGTCGCTGGTCCTTCGAACATGGACACATACGGGGATAACATGGCCAAAACGGGCCGAATGGGCGCACTCGTGCGGCTACAAGTTCGTGTAACGGATGTGCGCTGGAGATTTAAGCCTTTGCCGGACAACAGCAGCCAGCCCAACCCAACCAACCAACCACTCACCCACCCACCCACTCCAGCTCTAACCACCCATTAAGGCATATCTGCCTGTGTGTGTGTACGTGTGTATGAGTGTGTTCGCCCGGTTATATCCGGTTGCATTGGCAGGTAATCTTTTCGGGGTCGCTTTCCCTGTCCATCTATCTCTATTTCACTCGTTGCTTCCGCTGTTGGTTCTGTCCGCTAACGTTTTAAAACTGTATTAGCCGGTTTTAGTGCGAGTGTATCTATGAAATGGTACTGCGTCCGTGTCCGTGTCCGCATCTGTATCTGTATCTGTATCTGTATCTGTCATGCATTGACAGAGCATTGCGCAAAACGCTCGCACTTCCGGCTCCGTCTTCTGCATCGTTAAAGCCAGGAAACGGAGCTAGTCGTAGCAGTAGCAACAACAAATCAGCAATGTGCACGAGTTGTAAGCATTATTATTATTATAACGAGTATTACGAGCAGTATTATTGTTATTATTATTGTTACGAGTATGTATTATTGTTGTTGTTATTGTTAACTTACCTCTGTGCCGATTGGTTTGCTTGTCAAACATTAACATGGCGTCCTCGATCTGCAAATAGAGCAATAAGAAGAAAAATCGCTTTGTTAGACAAGTTGCAACAAAATTTTATTTTATTTTTCTTTTTCTTGGTTTTTTTTTGTTTTTGTAAGTTTTCACTTTGAACGCGCAACTCAATTAATGACCGAATAAAAGCACTGAGCAGACAAAACTGTTGCTAATTGCAAAAGTGAGCGCACAGCGACCACCAACAATGGCTAACACTCACACACACACACATACAAAGAGAAAGAGAGAGTGAGGGAGTGGTAGACACAGCACACGCATCTACCAATACAGGGCCAAGAAAAACTTTTGGCCATTATGACGCAAAAAGGAACTTATAATTATAGTTGACTGACAAACCGGGCCAAAACTATGCAACTAACTAACCGAACAGACTTTTTTGGGAGTAAGGAAGTCGGTAATGAGGCCGCTAACTGCTTGCAATGATGAACTGAGTTACTAACTGACACTTTAGTCGATTTTGTTTCATATGGTAATTGATAGGTTTTCTTCATTCAATTAGTTGAGCAGCTTAGCTTAGTTTTGCTGTTAATCGTTTTATAATCGATTAGGCAATTGTCTGCTCAAAGGGAAAGTTCGAAGAGCTCTTTTCAAGGACTTTATATAAGAGGATTTTAAGTGAAACATACATATGCATATATACAATTTAAATGCGGATACGGATTTGAGTTCCAGAAGCTAAAGATACGCTAGAAAGCTGTTCTTATGAAGCATTCTTGGCTCTTTGCACACTGTTCTGCTGGTACCTTCAAAGTTTCAACTCAACTCCGTTTTATTTTCTCCTACCGTAAATTTTTGCTAAATCCACCTTTTGTTTTAATAACTGATTAAATTTAATGGCTATTATTTATACAGTTTCTACATACATTCTTTTGTCTTTGGCAGTCTTTGAGCTGTTGTTGCTATCCTAGCTTTGATTACACTGTCTCATCTTGTTGCTGCCGCTATTCAATATTTTAATATGACAAGTTTCGCTTTGGCTTTGACGCTAATTGCACTTTGGCTATCAAAGTTGCGAACGAGAACATTAATGAGCTGCCTGCAGTCTTCAATGCCTTCGTGTTGCCCTATGATCATGCTTATGGCCATTGATTAAATTTAATCAATGGGCTTAAGGCAACTCCTGTGCATTGTAATTAAAGTGCAGTAGCTACAGAAACAACACTGTTGACGACGCTGGATAACGACAGCCTTATAAAAATTAATTAAGCCTCACGCCGCAGTTGAACCTCGAACCTCGAATCCACTCGACCCGACTCGAGTTTGGTCTGGTCGGGTCTAGTGTTGTTGCTGTTTCGCAGCTCTTTATATGCAGCCGTCGATGTAAGAGGGTACAACATTGTTTTTCAATTAACAATCAACAACAATGCCACAAACAATGCGAATACAAAACCATCAGCTGAAGGTTGCATGCGCCAAATGAGACAAAAATTACCTGCCGCAATGTTGTTGTTGCCGTAACGGGAGGCGATTGCAATTGCAGTTGCAATTGCAATTGCTGTTGTTAATTAAGCGGGCAACAGTTGCATCAGTGGGCACACTTCTCCGCCTCACCAACTTACCACACACCACGCCCCCTCATTTAGTTGCAGTAGTAACCTGCCAGTCATAATTACGCAAGGCTTTTGTCGCTAATTATGTTATTGGTCGAGCTTTTGCAACCGCAAACTTTAATTCTATTAGCAAAACGTTAAATACGATGCTCGCCCTCGAACGGTGGGCGTGGCACTAACAAGCAGTCACTGCGTAATTTTATTTAAATCTGAATTCATTAATTCGTCATAATCCCCCAATCATTGCGCCGCCTGCGTTGAGAACTTCAAAAAGCCATCAACGACAGACGTTGCTCTCTCCTACAATGTAGATCCTCGGAGTGCTGCCTGTCTGCCACTCATCCCCTATCCACCCGCTGCCCATTCTGGCCACAGTCTCTGCTTGGCTAGTGGCAGCCATTCATTTGGCTCATTTTGTGTACAAAAATGCTGCGCCCGCTGGAAAAGCCGTCGCTTCATTATCGTAATCGTTATATAAAACAGCGGGTAGACAACCACAACGGCGACGGCGACGGCGACAAAGGCACAGACACTTCTCTACTTGTATCTGTATATATGTGTGTGTGTGTGTTTTTTATGCGTTTTGTGGCACATAATGTGGCTGTCTCCTAGACGAAATTGTTGTTGCTGCTGCCGCTGTTCCTGACATTAATGAATGTTGCTGAGCATAGCGAAGAAATAAAAAAACTTCAGCTGCGGGTGATTTTTATTTTTGGAAAAAATGCCGAAAAACTTAAAAGCAGCCATCGACAGCAGCAGCTGCAGCTGAGGAAGTGGCTCACATGTGTACTTGTATGCAAAGTATTTCAAAAATCACTTTCTAAACAAATTTAACATACTTTTGAAAACATATTTTGTGGCTTATTTTAAAGTAGGCAAGAAATTTAAGGCAATGATTCAAAATTAAAAGGAAACTTAATTTATAAATTTGAATAAATTCAGACGACACAATCCTATTAAAATATGACAAATATACAACATTGACAATGAAATTTTTTGTTGATTCTTATTAAATTTTATTATAAATTAAAGCGATATGTTTTTATTGCTGGGCATGCAAAGTGGCTTGAAATTGTGCTTAAATAGATTGTGTATATTTTTTCTTGCACTTTTCGTCTCGTTAAACCACTAACTGTCTTGTCTTTTTCGTATTTGTTTGAAAGTCCTCGCAAAAAATGTTTAACTGGATAATTTGCAGTAATTCATCTTTCTGTCGGCTTTGCCATTGTGCCCTTTTTTTGTTTTACACTTTATGCGGTCGCTTGATTGCGACAATTTATACAGCGTCGGACTTTGGTTTTCGGGTATATTGAGAAGAAAAAAATTTGTTTGGTTTTGCAACATTTTAAAGCTGCATTCGCCGAAAAGTCGCATTTAATGAAAACTCGCTGGGGGAGTTACTCTTGTAAAGTACTTATACCCTATTCCACACACATACACACACACACACACACACACACTATACTTACTTATCTCTTTTTGTTGGTCGGGTGCGTGTGTTGGATGGGGAAAAAAATATAAATGAAAAAGAAGCGAAATGAACTTTTGGTAGCTGGACGTGCGAGTTGTCTAAGTGCCGGATTGGGGAATGGCACATCTTTCAAAAACTTTTCGTGGCGACAGCAAAAAAACAGGCAGCAGTAGCTTCATTCTATATATGCCAAATATCTGCCATACATCTAACGATATGTGTGTGTGTGTGTGTGATAGTGAGTGTGCTTGTGAGAACATGACTGCGTGCGGTTGAAATATAGATAAACTTTTTTAAGCTCGTATTTATTACATATTTGGCTGTAAGTAGAATTTAAGTTGCTTTTTGCGGTTGCCTTGAACGACCCCACACGGCGTATGAGTAATGCGCATATAAAGCAAGTTGAGAGTCACAGCGAGAGACTCTCTCATTCCATCTCCCTCTCTCTCTCTCTCTCTCTCTCTCTCTCTTTCTCGCTATTTATCTCACTCAGTGCACTTTAGCGAAATCTTTGCGACAAATTTGCAATCAAAAACGCATCAATTGAAATTGTAGCATTAATGAGCGGGCCAAAGCACGGGTTATACAAATGTGCACAAGTATTCAATTAAAAAAGGATTCGGTTTTGTAATCCGCAACTTGATTTGCTGCTGCTGTTGTTGTTGTTATGCCATCCATGAATCCGACGGACCCTAACATTAGCAACAGCACGAATGGAAACGCAAGTATGAATATTAAATTGTGTATGGAGATTTGAGCAATTAAGTGAAACAGAGATAGCAATATTCAAAGAGAGAGAGAGAGTGAGAGAGAGAGAGAGGGAGGGTTGATTGCGCTTGCACTGAATGGCAAATGGCAATGATGGAAAAGCTTTTGCATAGTTTATGCCCTTGGCTCAGTAGATCAACTATTAATGGAAGAAAGAGTGAAATTTTATGGCACCACAAGCAGCTGGATGGGGGAGGGCAAGGATGTTAAAGAGAAGTAGGGTGCGAGAGGACATGGGTTACAATCGGTACACAAAGCTGCCCTTAGTTTAGCAAAGGTCACAAATGCGCACAAAGAGCAAACAATATTTACATATGAATCTTGCCATGTATGTGTGTGTCTGTATATATATATATTTATATATATGTATGCGAATGTGAGTGTGTGGCTCGTCACGGAAATGAAGCAGAGTTTTTAATGCGGTTGACTGATTTGGGTTCGCAATTGAATATGGAGATGCTATAAGAGCATGGATACAATAACAACAAAACAGTTGCCAGACTGGGCATATATGAGATGCCCTCAACTACTCGTATCAGACTTATAACTAAGTTATGCTCTTTGTATATTGGCTACAATAGTTCAACTTATAGGTCAATGTACACAATTCAACAGCACAACAATAATTATATTCCCTTTGTTGACCATAAGTAATGCGAGTTGCAAAGTTCTTGATGCTTAAATGTGCTGTGTTGATCCCTTTATAAATCTATATCCATATATCGATACACTTCAAGAAACAAATCCGAATTTTACACACTTTAAAATACATTTTTCAGTTCTATAACTTTAATTGAAGCGATTATATATTTGATTAGGTTTTAAACTTTAGACAGATAATACTTTAAACTTATCACAGTTTTAACATTTTATCGTTATTCATCTAACGTTTGAGATAAGATCGAACATCCCTGATTAGCTATTATTGCAGTAGAAAATTTCTTTATTTTTAGGTATCTTTTTTGAGCGTACAATTGTAGAATTACAGAACTAGCTGATTGGCTCATTATTTTTCATCTGTTTCGGTATTTTGGGAAAAATGGGTAATAGCTTCTATTTTTAGGGCCCATCGCAAGTATTTTATAATAATGAAAATAGCTCTGCGAAAGCCGGCCAACTTGTCATCACTTTTAATGAGATAGCCACAGAAGAGAAAGTTTGGCACCTTTTTGCAGCTTTACTGCCAGCAAAGA